GAGGTAAATATTAATTGAGTAAATAAATAAAATAAAAATGGAATTTGGAAAGGTATCAAGTGAAAAATACTAATTAAATTGGAAAAAAAAAACATAAAATGCTGCAATTGGGTGTCGAAGCGAGTTCCCTTATTGCTACTATCCTTCGATTTTATTAAATACTAGTAACAAACTCGTGCTATCGCACAGGTCTCGTCTGAATTCACATTACATTTATAGATTATTAAATTATTAAGTATGTTACCATGTTTTCAGTTGAGTATATGTCTCATGTAAACCATATTGGCATTTAACTCTATATTTGTAGCAAGCGTCGGTCCTATCAACAAATCACGTCTGCATGAACAAATAGGAAAAATTATATACTTCTTAAAAAAATAATAATGATATTTATGCTCTAAGATATCCGTGCTATCGCACGTAGGGATGTCAGTTTGGACCTGTTAATGGGGATCCCCGCGGGGAACGCCCCGTTCGGGGCCCCAAAGATGGGGAATTTTCCCCCGTGGGGGCGGGGATGGGGAGAAAAATTCCCCCGAGAGCATTTCGGGGACGGGGACGGAGAATACACCCCCCGCCCCGCGGGGACCCCGCCCCGCCTATTATTTTAATATAGTTAATTTAATATATATATTTTAGATTAGGTTTTTTAGTCATTTCCTTTATGTTTATTTATAAAAATAAATAAATAAATATTCATGTATTTATTAAGAGAGAGAAATGTAAATATTAGACCCTAAAAAAGTTAAAGCGTTTCATTTTCTTAGGCATATTGTTACTTTAAAAAGTATTATAGTTCATTTTGTTGAATTTTATAGCATTTTATAGAAATTTATAAAAAAAATATTATTATTTTGTGTTCCATTAGTATTTTTAATAAAAAATAATAAATGTCAAATACTAGTATTTTTTAATAACATAATAAATATGTGAATTCTTTGTGCTTTTTATTTTTATAGAAAATATAAACATTTTAAAAAAATAAAATATTAATGAATAAATGTAGGATCTATGGGGATCCCCGCGGGGAACGGGGATCCGCGGGGAACGGGGATGGGGATAGAAATTCCCCCGTGACGGAGATCGGGGACGGGGACGGGGAATGAATTTGATGGCGGGGAAAAAGATGGGGAAGTGTCCCCCCGGCCCCGCCCCGCCCCATTGACATCCCTAATCGCACGGGTCCCGTCTAGATTCACATATACGTTGTCAAATCTCATTTGTCAAATTTGAATATATTTTTTAGTTGATTAACATTCACATAGTTACAAATATAGACTAATAATATGCATCAACTTTTAAATTAAGAAATAAAAAGAACTCTTATATTAATATATTTGACCAAAAGAGTATTAAATCTTTAATGTTAATTTGATTTTATTAAAAAGATTCTACAATTTAGTCAAAAATGAATTCTATACTGAATTAATATAAAACAATAGCAAAAGAAAGATTTAAAAGATGAACATTAAAATGAACAGTTTACGGTTGATATTTATAGATACGTTCACATTTACCTGTGGATCTATGCCTGTAAAGTCCTTCATTAAGATGAACAATCTACGGCTATTAAATTGAGAAATAAAATGAGAAATAAAAAAGAAATCTTAGATTAATATATTTGACTGAGAGAGTATTAAGTCTTTATTGTTAAATTATATAATATAAGAATTGAATAAGAAACAATTAATAGAAGAAAACTATAGTGTTAGCAAAAATGTAATTTAAGTATTATAATTTAGAATTAGTAAAAAACATTAATTATATATAAGAAAAAAATAGAATAATTTGAAATAGTATATTCTGAAAATAGCAATGAAAAGTCTTTAAAAACGACGTTTAGAAAACCGGTGCATTAGAAATTAATATGAAATTAACAACATTAAATAGTAAGAAATTCGTGCTATCATACGGTTACCGTCTGAATTCACATTATACGTCTCTCACTCTCATTTATCAAATTTGTATATATTTATTCAGTTAATTAACATTTATATAGTTACAAACATAGAAAGCGCATTAAACTCGTGTGTCTATTTATAAAAAAATATTTGTAATTTATTCCGATTTATAATAATAATTGAATAATAAATTGAATTTTTTTCGTTTATAAAAATATTTGTAACGTATTCTAGTTTAAAAAAATTATTGTAACTTATTTCCGTATATAAAAATATTTATATCAACATATAGACTTTTTCCCGTTTATAAGGGACTTGAACCCGTGTGATAATTTATAAAGTAAAATTTAATTTATTCATGTTAAAAATAATTGTTTTAATACTTCAATTTGTATCCTTTATAAAAATATTTGTAACTTATTCGCGTTTATAAAGTTATTCTAACTTTCTTTGCGTTTATAAACACATTGAACTCGTGTGTCCATTTATAAAAATATTTGTAAGTTATTCTCTTGTATAAAAATAATTGTAACTTATTCCGTTTATAGAAATAAATGTATCATTAAATTTTTACTTTTTATCATTAATTTTTTATGATTACCATTTATCATTAAATTTTCATGACTACCATTTAATATTTTTTATCATGATTACCATTGAAAAGATTCTCATAAATTTTAGTTATTTAATAAGTTTTAAAAAATTATAGAATTTCAATTGATTTTATTTTGTTTTATTAAACTTTTTATAAAAATCTAAATTATTTTAAAATATATCAATAGCATTCAAAATTATATAGTTTTTTCTTAAAATACTTTTTGAATGCTATTTAAAATTATATCAATATTATATATTTTATTTTCATTAATTCAATTTAATTGAATTTCAATGAATCGATTAATCTTTTGAAAATGATCTAATTGAATTAATTGATCAATTAACTCTTTGTAAAATTATCATACGTATAATAGTTTCTTTCAAAAGTATTTTCTTAAGAAATATTCAAAATAAAGTATTTTAAGAAATATTAATAAAAATGAGACGATTTTTATTAACATTTCTTAAAAATACATGCTTTTTAATAATATTTCATAAAAATACATGATTTTTAATATATTTTAGTAACAAATATTATTTAAACTATAATAATACTTACTTAAAATTTTAAACAAATCACAATTTTGCTAATATTTTTTAATAAATTTGTTTTAAAATGATAGAAAATTTTATCGATTTTAATAATTCACTTTATATATTTAATTTCAAGTTAATCATTACTCATTTTAGAATATTTATTTTTTTGAAAATTATTTTATCATTTTGCAATAAATCATTAATCATAATTTATATGATTTTAAGATACTTATAATCATAAATCATAATTATTTTATCAATTAATCATAATACATAATTTATAATTGCAATAATTCAAATTTTAAACTCAAATGTACTTTTCCATATTCCCAGGGACAGACTTTTTGAACCTTCATCATATATACATTCTCTTTAATTTGTATTTACAACACGTATTCTAAATTTACAAAAAATAGATAGTGCATCTAAAAAAACATAAACAACAAATGAAAGGAATAATGAAAGGAATATTCACAGTTTCAATCGGTCGCGCCATTGATGTTACTATTTAGACCTGTTACAAAATTTGTATTAAAATGGACACAGAGAATCAAAATATGGGAATGAAGAAGAATTGGAAAATAATACGTAACCTTTTGAAAATAATGGAGAATGAAGAAGATTGAGGAGTGAAATAGTAATGGTTTAGAATGGCTATATATAGGGTTTAGAATGCATCGGAAGTTGTGATATCTTGGAATATCAAAATAATCCATTCTAATTCCAATAATATACATTTAATATTTTTAAATCATGCAATGAATAATATTCCATTTAATTATAATAGATCTAATTTGCCCATTCCAATTCCTTCCTTATTAACCGTGAGTCAAACATTAGAATTCAAATTCTGTCAAAAAAAAAAAACCGTGAATGAAACATTAGAATTGGAATTCAAATATAAATAAAATTCAAATATAAATAAAATAAATTAATAAATCAAATAAATAAAAAATAGTGTAAAATTATGATAGATTGACATGTCAGCAAAATTAAATGCCAAATGAATATGGTAACAGCACAGTGTTAGTCTATTATACCCTTGGAATAAGAAAAGTTATAACATCTAATCAAAAGGTTAGACTTGGAATTTCCAGTTACTTTACTTTTAATAGATTGATAATAGATTCGAGGTCTAATGTTTTTTATAAAAAATAATAATAATTAAACAAGGCACTCCCAGGATCTATACCCTCATTTTTTCATTGTTCGAGGTGTTAACTTCGTTATGAAAAGCGTTATTTGTAATAGTGACTGTAGGAGAAATCTTGACGTAAGACTTGTACAAAGATTTAACAGAATACTAGACGTATCCTCGGACTCTGAAGGAAACTAGAATACATTCTTGTGTTCTTTTTTGTTTTACATTTTATAGCTTTCAAACACTTAATAACAATTCAGAAAAATAAGAACAACTTAAATTTAAAACGAGATAATTTTTAAAGTCTTAATTCACCTCCCTCTTATAATTCAACTTACACAAGATTCCACCCACGCTTCCACCATAAACTTGGGGGGGGTATTGGGAGGTAGCATGCTATCTTAGTTAGAACAAGTAACTCTTACATGATGTAACTAACTATTTAAGCATGCATGGCTACTATATATAGCAAGCACCCTCTCTTATATAATGTAATGAACTATCCACAATAAACACAAGAAAATCTTAGTGCTATCTCTCTCTTAGTGAGGTGTCGGTGTGCTACCACGTTCTCAAACAAGCACTTAAAGAACAAGATAGAGAAAACTTGGTTTGTAGACCGGCCAAATATCTATACGGTATAAAGCAAGACCTTATATGTTGGTTGGTACATGAAATTTGATACTTTCATCATTAATCTTGATTACCACTTAATGAGTTCATACCATTGTATGTACTAAAAAAGGTTAGATGATGGTGATTTTTATAAAAGTAATTAATTCAAAACTAATTTTTGTCAATGTTCAACCAAACACATGTTATAGTTAATGGTTGTTATTACAAGGGAAACATCCACATGAGTTGTACCTAGAAAATTGTGAATTATGCTTATGAATAATCTTTTTAGCATGTTGAGTTGATTTTTCCATTTGTTCTAAGTGCTGCTGTCTAGCTGTTTCTCTCCATTCCTCAGCTTTCCTGTGAACCACTGACATCCTCTTCATCAACTTCTCTTCCAAGTTTGATTTCATCTTTTGGATTTTCACCTATAAATAAATAAAAGCATGCTTAGTTAGTTAGTTTCAATGACTCTTAACTTTGAAATTTAAAACTTTTCTTGGAATGTGTAGTACTCTATATTCTTAATCAAATTTGTGGTTTTCAATGATTTTGAAGACATTGTAACATTTTATAGTACTAATTTATATTAAGGATTTGAATAGACAATGTTATTATTCCTTGTAGTTTTCAACTTGGATTTTGTTTTGAAGTACATTATTCTTATGGTATGAATAAAATAGTAGATTGATTCTCTACTATAACTGACTCAAAACATAGTTCACATGTGCTCTTTCAATATAAGATTAGAAACATTATTATTTATGGGATTCTAAGAGTTTTATATACTAGTGTGAAACTAGGGAAGCGTGGTGAGAAAAAAATGAAGTGGACTATTGTATTGTATGGTCAAAGTAAATAATAATGAATAATGGTTTCCATGAATAGGGGGTGGCTCAAGGAGCTTTGGATTCTACATAGTATAATTTAGGACAACCTGCTACCCCATGTGCATCTCAGAAAAAACAGCCATCTTTAAGGATCAAGATTCTTGAACGGTCCAGATGTCCCGACTTCACACAATCTTCGTATATTAAGGATTGTCAGATCGAGATTAAATAATCTAAATTTTAAAAAGATAATAGAATTTGTGTATGGCGCAAATTGTGTAATTTAATTCAACTTTTATGAATAGACTAATCGCCCGAATAACTGATTGTGCGAATGTGTCTAGTGAATGAGGTAATTCAACTAGTATGGACTAGTTGAATTAGATGGGTGTAAGTCGTTGGTTTAGAGTTCAATCTCTCAATCATCCCTTAATCGAGGTCAAAAAACTCATTCCATCTCTATTTATAATACTCTATGTCTACTTATCTTACTATATTGATATTTTCAAGTGGAACTTGATGACACTTAAAAACCATTACAAACCAACCAAAAGTCATGAGAAAAAGAGATTTGGCAAAGAAATACCTCAAGCTTTCTTGACCTAGCTTCTGCTTTAGCATTTTGCAGGTTAATCCAAGCTTGAATTTTTGCTTCTTCTCTCTGATATCTACATCAATGCAAATCACAATTTAGTTCTAACCAATACATATATGATGATAGTATTTTATAGTTTAACCGCGACAAGTAGTTTATGAGTAGCGCGTCTAGCACGGCCTCAAAGACAGTCCTGCGATCTAGTTCGATTTTTAAAACATTGATTGAAGGTTAAGTTACCTAAGACAACACTTATTCTTCTCCTCTTCTTCCCAAGTAGCAGCAATGCAATCAGAATCAGCTTTCAAACTAGCATTATGCCTCAAACTTTTCGATATCTCCTTCTCCTCCTCTTCACTCGAACTCCAACTAGGCGCAACCAAATCATACTTCATTGTTCCATATTGCAGTTTATCAAAATGACACTCCTCCAGCTTAATACCATCCACACAGCAACCATTACCATCGACATTATCCAACGCCAACGGCCCTGATCTACTAGCCGGAGTATTGTGTCGCGCAGGCGATGAACTCTTGAACGGCGTATGACATCTCGAAGTCGTGGAACTTCCCAAGGGAGTCATGTCCGTGCCAACATCCTTGTGTTTAACCTCATGAATCACTTCAGTGTAAGCAACATCATGATTCATTGATTCATCGTAAGCTTGATTCTTAAACAAGAATCCTTCTTTTGTTGGTTCTGAATAGATGAATTTCGGTAAAACCGGTTCTATACTGTCTGTAAACTTATCTACATTGCAAAAAAGTTGAAAAAAGCTTAGAATTCGATAAAGACAAAAAAAGAAGCAGAAAGTGTAGATTGTGAAAAAGCTTATATGATAGTGAAGTAACCTTTTAGAACTATGTCTGTTGGATATGAGATTCCATTGTGGTCCAAAGTTGAAGAAGAACTTTGACATTTAGTAACAACTTTTGAAACCTTTAGTTCCACTTTCTGCTTAAAGCTATTATTGTTATCACATTGTTTGGTTCCAATGCTTGAGGATTCTGAAGAAACATGTTTAAGGTTGTTGTTGTTGTTGTTGTTGTGAGCTGGTGAGTCATGACAGGAAGTGCTTATGAGCCATTTTTCAGCATCATCCCATTTGGAAGGAAAGCTTTTTCTTGGAAGATTGTTTCGTCCAACAATGGAAGATGAAGAAGAGCTGAAGCTGAAAAGTGGTCTACCTGGTGTTGAAGGAGCTTCTAGTTTTCTGAGGTTTGTTGAAGAATCATTGGTGAATCTTGTGATAACTGAATTGGGATTTGGCAGTGGGAGAGATTTGACAAACTCAGAGGTTTCTCTGAGGTTGAGCTTGCAAAGTGGATCAATGAAATCATCAACAAAAGGGTTGTTGTTTTTTGCATACATGTTGATGTTTATTTAAAAAAAAGATGGTCAGAAAAAGGAAGAAAAAAGAGAGATGTTGAAGCAAAAAGAGATGGTTTTTAAGGTGTTGTGGTAGCAAGAATGATGAAGGTTGAGTGAGTGATGAGTCTATGGGTAGGGAGGTCCATGGCCTTATTTTGGGGGTCACTGCTTTCTAAAGAGGGAAGTTACTTTGACTAGTCTGGTTACTACTTCAATTTTGAAATACAATATATCTTTTACTTTAGTTTTTAACTAATTGTTTTTATAAATCAATCCCTTAACTTCACTACTTTATATTATTTCATCACTTCAGTCAATTTATGACAAAAAAAAAAAAAATTAAGTTATCATAAGACTCAAAATTCAAATATTATTCAATATGTATATTATAAAATAGAATTTTCACTTAAATTTTTTAAAAAATAAATAATATTAATATGAAAAATTTAAGGTGAGAACAATACGAATGTCTGTTTATTCAGTTTGATTAAACGATCTACTCTAAGAGAGAGAACAGTACTCCAATTTACTATATTCAGAAAGTTGTTACAGGAAATTACAGACGAGTTACAAGAAAATAACATCCGCCTTCAGGTTTTCCAAGAACAACCGTGAATCGTCCAAGAATAAATGTATTTTCTACCAATCACAATGACCTTAAACAATTCCAAAAGTCACTAAATTTTTGCTCTTCTAAAGTTTTCCTTCACAGATTTCTCTTCACTTAACCTTGAACTTTTGCTCTCTTTTATTTCTGTAAACTCTAATAGTGTGGTTGGTTTGGCATCAACTTTTGCACGTTTACTCAAAAATCACGTTAAGTTTCCATGTTTAGGTAGAAGCTCCATTATGTAGCTTTTGAAAAATCACGTCCAGAATGAAGTTTGTTGTGTGTTTGGAGACTTAAATGAAACCAAACATACTATAAGATTGTCCTACTTCTCAAACATATGAGAGATACATATTTATAATAGTAAATATCAACAAATAAAACACAAAATCATAATCCAATCACACATGAATCCATAGAGCGAATCGAAAAACCTAAAACATGCAAAATGATAAACTGTCGAAAAAGTCTGAAAAACCATAAATCGACGGCCTATCGTACGGACATACAGACATCACTATTCACCATACTGACATTACTATTCACCGTACGAACAATATTATTCATCTCTCTAACATTACTATTCACTGTACGGACAACCCTATTCATCGTACAGACAACTCTATTCATCGTACGAACAACCTTATTCACCGTACAAACATCACTATTCACCGACTGATTTTTCCCAATTTCTATTTTTCGACTTTTCGTCCGACTTTATTCCGATTTTCATGATATATGCAATCTCCAAATTATATTTCCATTCTCTTCATCAACGAAAATTTTAACGCATACTACAACATACTTCAATAAATTTTATACATTTTTTAAACAAAATTTCAAATACATCTAAAATGTAAAGGATTTGATATTAAAATTTTGATGTCACAAAGATGATCATGTAACTCATTTAACTTAATATTATGATGATGATGTATGAAGTTTGGTTGGCGAGCGAGTGAGCAGAAAGTGAGCATGAGAAGCACTGAAACAAGATACACTGAAGAAGGAAAAAAGAACACAGACATAGTTAGAAGGCAGAGACTAATAAAATGAGTCACATGTAAAGGGACAAAGAAACAGTCCTATTTAGTCTCTTAGTTTGTCTTCTCACTTTCTTTCCTATATCTCGAGGACAAGGATTGGATTGGATGAGGAACAAGACGAAATGGTACATTATCAAAAGAAGAGAGGATCTTTCTTTAGTACAACTATTTTATCTTTTTTTTATTTATTAATAGTACGGAACATAATACCATAGAATTGGATGGATGTCAATGTCCTAGACTATAATAGGTCACACACAACACAGAACATTGTATACAAACCTCAAAAATCAAAATCAAAGAGCTGGAAAAATACAAAACAAACAATAAATCCAACATTTTGGAGTTTAATATTTTCAATAAATTTTTACATCATTTTTACCTACATATCCTATTTTTCAAGTTTAACTATTTTTTTGGATTGATCTTTTAAAAAAAATTGAATTAATTATTTATATTTGCACTCTACCCTTTTTAACAAGTTTCACTTTTAATATTCCACTTCAATTTTTCAAAAAATAAATATTTAAATAAATCATGTCCCTAAAGTTTTGTAGTAATATTTTTATCCATGAAGAAATAATCAGATCACAAACTCAATACTCGAAAGAATAAATAGTTCAATCTTTAGTGTAAGGTGTGATAAGTAGACACTTATTTTTAACAAAGATGGATTTTATGAATTAAGTCATACATGAGTTGGGCCTTAGTAGAGGTAGTCTTCGAGAAATCTTTCAGCCACGATTCATTTTTGACACCCTCCACATTTCAATAATATTCATGTTGCTCTTATGGAAATTTAAGCTAAAAATTCGGACAAAATATCTGATACTTTAATAAAAAAATCTGATATGTAGAAACAATTCAGTAGTGTATATGAAATATTTGGAAGGGATTAAATACGTGACATCACCTTACAATCCTAAATTTCTTGTTTTTTTTTTTTTTTCTATTTTATTTGATTTATTTTCTATTTTTATTTTATTTTTAATCCAAAAACAAGATGTGTATGCTCTTTATTTGATTTAATTGGATGTTAGTCATATTTTCATTTTTTTAAAATTTTATTTTAATCGATTTTCTATTTTCTATTTTCTTCTCAATAGGGGCATTGTTGGAATTTTTGTAATTGTTGCATGATGATTGTCTACTAAGTCTAGTTGTTCTGACTTGTTTGATTTTGACCCTGAAGTAGAAAGAACTTTTCACGCACGTCATAGAGTCAATCAGGCTAGTACTAGTGCACCCATTCACATTAGTAATTTTGATTTTGAACTTAATAATTGTAACATTGATGAACAAAGAACTTTAAGAGAATTTGATGCACCAGATGTTAACTATAAGGCATTGTGTATTAAATATCTTGACGTTATTGTATCTTTTGAGTTGAAATCTGGGTTAATACACTTGTTGCTAATGTTTCGTGGTTTTGCCAAGAGTTGAAATATGTGTATTAAATATCCTTGATTTGCATAAGCATCTAAAATAATTCTAGGTTGTGTGCTTTACACCTTTGAGACCTGAAAGAATCACAGCAGATCATATTAAATTAAGAGCCTTCTCATTCTCACTTCAAGGAGTTGCAAAATATTGGTTGTATTACCTTCAACCAAACACTTTGCAAGTTTGACCGATATGAAAAAGTTGTTCCTAGACAAATACGTTTCTGCCTCTAGATATGCGTCAATAAGAAAATAAATATGTGGTATTAGAGAGGTTGACAATAAATTATTAGCAGAATATTGGGAGATATTCAAGCAATTAGTGTCGACTTGACCTCAACACCAGACCTCTGAGCAGTTATTAATCCAGTATTTCTATGAAGGATTGCTACCTATGGCCAGAAATATTCTGGATGCCGCTAGCAGATGAACACTTGTTGATAAGACTCCAGCTACAGCGAGAGCCCTAATTGAGAACATGTCCCTTAATTCCCAATAGTTCACAACTAGACATAACTCTATAGTTTTGACAAAAGGTGTGAATGAGATTAAAGTTTCTTCTTCCAACAAGGCTTTAAAAACTAGATTTGTTGAGCTTACTTCATTGGTGAAACAATTTACAGTAAGAAAAACTCAAAGAGAAAGGTTATGTGATATTTTCACTTCTTCTGAACACCCAACCAATACATGTCCTATCTTGCAAGATGATCCAGTTATTGATTTTTCCTCAAGCGTACGCATCAAACATTTACAGTCCTCAAGGCAACAGCCAAAAAAGATACAATTTTCCTGACTTATTCACTAACAAGACTTAATCATCCCAATTAGAGGAACCATCCAAACCTATGTTATTGGAATCCATCTAGCCAACAATAGTTGATGTTACCATTGTCACCATTACAGAACACTCCACAAGTCACTACCTCTACAGCTTTTGGACCTTCACTAGAGGACCTTGTCAAACAAATGGTTGTACATAATCTCCAATTTCAGCCACGAACATATTCTAGTATTCGGAATTTGCGGATACGGATTGGACAGTTTTCCACTTCAATGAATGTCATGCAACTGGCTCAAGAATTGAACCAATTATCTGCCCAAACAATACTCAATACAAAAGGTCCTGATGTGAGTTTAATTTCCTTGAAATCCAAAAAGAGTGTTGAAATGCTTGAACCATCCTCAGAAAAAAGGAACAAAGTTTTTGAGCTCACACCTAATCTTGATTCTGAAGTTGTTGTTGATATTGAGAAAGAGAAAAATCATGTACCACCAATTTCTTTCCCACAGAGAATAATGAAAACTAAAAATATGGATGAGAAAGATAAGGATAAGGAGATATTGGACATTTTCAGAAAGGTGGCGGTAAATGTTGTACCATAAAGTTTGCCCTCTTATTTATCAAGTAATTTCTCACAAGATCTCATTTGGTTCAAGACTGCACCAGGATTGATCAGCTCAAGACATCTCTTCAAGCTCTGATGGATGAAAATTAGGGTTTGAGATTGCACAAGGATAATTAAACTTTTAATGCCTCATATAACTTTTATGGATCCTTATGGACCTTCAAGATTGCTCATGTCAAGTTTCAAGTCTTGGATCATATTTTTGCTCAGTCAATTAATCAGTTGACCTAAAAATCAGTTGTATTGGGAAAAAGTCAATTATGGTCAATTTACAGTCAAAATTCATAATTTTTTATCCATGTCAACATTATGAGCTCATATATGTCATTTGATCAAGTTTGGACCATAATTCCTCGAGAAATTTGATCAGATCATCAAAAGGGCAAAATGGTCAAAATTAAGGTTTTGATTGAGAAAAGGCAATTTTTGATTTTTGACCTAGCAAATGGCTGAATGGTTGGAAACATGATCTCAAGGATTCAATTGCATAATTTTG